TAAATAACTGTCTTAATATAGTTAAAAAAACAACCGAAAGAAGAGCAGCTCGTTCATTACAAAACAGACAATATATAATTGTAATTACGAGGAAAACGTTTTGTCTTAGAACCGCGCTCGTAGCGTGATCACATGAGGGTTAACTGGAAGCACTACCGCGATTTATATCGTTAGATTTTCTATTCTAACATAATGAGAAAAGAGGGAAGAGAGAAAGAAGCGATAGGAAAGATAGCAAGGCGCGAGCTTACGAGTGTTCTATCTGATTTTATACGAGGTGCTTGAAATAATTGAATTTCTAAGGAAATTAATTACCGCCATGTGTGATAATTATATAACTTTATGTATCGCGTAATCGTTTGCAGTAGTGGAAAGAAAATGTTAAATGTTAAACGAAGTCAAATCGGAAATAGAACGAAATTGAAATGCGAAAAACATCTTTTATAAATGTACGATAAGATATACGATATTACAATAGTCTTTTAAACATTGATAATGATTACAAAAAAGTAGATATGCACAAGAGCATTTTTATCTTTTTCTTTTTCTCTTTTTCTCCTCTTTCGCGATACTAACAGCAAAAGCGTTCTTAAATAGTTTTAGTATTGGCAATCGGTGCACATCGGCCGAACTTTTATTATAAATTGTAAATCGTCATTTGGCGCGTTAAATAATAATCAATCTATCTCGATTATATTTGACGCCAGGCGGTCCTTCCCCCTTGGTGAACGAGTTTTATTTTCATGCCGACACTAAATGTCAAATGAAAATTTCGACGCAAAAGTTTGTTTCGAAATAAAACATTATGGCTGACGTGAAGAGCTCGCGAACATGCTTGCCGATTTCGAGGTTGGGTTTGCTTGCTCCACCGTAAAACATCATCGAGATTCTCGCCTTCTTCTCTGCAAAATCTTGATGCTACCCAAGGTCTCCATTTTCTGTCACTTCGTCACGGATTAAAGAGTACATAAATTTAGATGTGGAGATTACACTTTTAATAAAAATAGGATTACGTGAAAAGTTATTTGGCGAAGTTGTGTCTCGAAGGTGACAGTCCTGGCTATATCAAAGGCGAATTTAATTTTTTCCTCGAAATTTTTTCACGTAGCGAAACTTTTCGCATTGCATTGCTCTCGCGAGAGATTAATAGCCGGTTGGGATGTTTCTGATATTTCTCTTCGTGTGATATATTATACGATTTTGAAATTGATTTCAACTCCGGCGGCGGCGTAGTGCGCGGAGACCGAAGCGGAGTGTTAGGGAAAGAGCGGAAGGGAAGAGAAATGAAAAAGAGAAAGAGAGACGCGAAGGGCCCGCGTTGTCGGGTTATTGGTGTTTACCTCGTCGGCTCGCAAAATTCGCCGACGGCGGCACCTTCATCACTCGGCAATTTTCTGAATTCTGATCCGCCGGGCGCTCGCGCGCGATGTATTCCGCCGATTTATATTTTTCACCCAGAGATAATCGCGCGCAACACACACACACACACACACGAGTATTGCCGCGTCTTGTCCTTCTTTCCTCCCCCGTCGCCGCCGTCTGCCTCTGCGTTTTTTTCGCAATTTATATTGAGATGCTTAAGCGCTCGCCTTGACCTATCTACTTATAAATGGCGGTCGTTTGTCAGGCTTTGCTAAATTTCCCTCGGTTCTCCCCGGCCTGCCGCGCGAGCCGGTTACAGCTGCGCGAAACCGAAGCGGCCTCCCTCCGCGCTGCGGCGCCGCGCCGTTTACGCAAAAACGTCATTTCCATACGTCGGAATGCTCGCGTCTTGCATTAATCCCCATGACAGGACAAATTCGTGTACTAACCCTAGGATGCGTTATTCAATTTTTGCCCGAGAGACGAACGTTGCGCGCAATATAATTCAGCACTTAAGCGCGGTCATATGAATTCCCATGCATGTGTGACATTCGTTAGGTACTTTATTTCGCGGCGGTACAATATTGATAGTGCGCTCGAAGGAATTAACTCAACAAAGGAGGAGTGAGATAATTCGCTGCAGAAAGAGAGACTAACGGTTCACTAAAAACTCTGCTCGTCGCTTCCTCACGCCGTTTCCGGAAATATTCTTTCCACGTCATGCCGGCCGGCCCGCCGCGCCGCGCCGCTCCTCGTACGTCTCGGTGACAGCTCGACATCGTCGCGACGCGTCGCCCTGTTACTTCTCCGTTTCGGTCACAAATTAACGCCGTCTGCAAATAGTGATTGTATACGATGCGCACGAGCGCGTTCTCTCGAACCGGCTTTGTCGCGGATCTTCTCGGCGACGTTGACGAGGACGACGACAACGACGACGACGACGAGCATGACGACGAGCTTCATCGTCGGTAGGGACGCGTTCATAGTCGCGAGTCTTCCACGATCGCGTCTCGAGACACAACCTTACCTCGTTTCCTCTCGCTACCCTTTAAGATATTCCGCTCGCTCGTCGAGTGATATCTTCATACTGCCATGACGGTGAATTATTGTCCATGGCCTTTTTTAGTTCCTCCAGCTGAGAGAAATTCGCATTCTAGATGCGACATGTTCGCGCGCTATACCCAGACAAGAATCCCTTTTACGTCGTTTTTCGCGGATAGGTGCAACTTGCGTGTCTGTATGAATAGAGAGACCGCAAAGCAAAGTGGAAATATTCATGGTTGCTTGAAAAATAGTTTATTATGTATTAATATTGCAAAAATTATTTCTACAAGATGTATAATTTATCTCGAGAGAATAACGTCTGCGGTTTATTTAGGTATTACATCTTAGATTGATATAGCGCGTTTAGTTTTTTTTCTCGTCAATAGTATTTGCAACGCGCCGAAATGTATGTTTAACTTAATATATCGGGAATCAAGGTTTCAGCTGTGTATTAAGTTGAAGAGTCGTTCGCGGAAAGCATGAGGGACATATCGAGCACTCCAGAGTTGCATGGTAAATACGAGGAACGTCGATGAAGATATCGGGTCATATTAATTCAGTACTTTGTTCGGTTCTTCGCGACGTCTTATCACCGCACTTTCGCGATACGAAAACGAGGACAAGTCGCGCGCAGCTGAGAAGGACGAATTTTAACCAACGCGCGCCGCCATATTCGCATTCTGCTCCGCAAGCGGATCGTTTGAGTGACTTTAACGTGCGTATCGGATTAATTCAAGCGCAATATAGCAGGCGATTCGATTCGCACCGCGTTATTTTCGCGATTTCGTCACAATCTTGATATTCGGCGCAAGATTAATCAAATTAGATGAGAAAGAGAGAGAGAGAGATAGTTGTAATCGCACTTTTTCGGACTACGTAGGTATATTTTTTCTCTCGGCTTAAGCGGATTTCCGCATATATATATACGTTGCTCTCAGGAGCGAATGCGCCAAAGGTTGAATTAAATTAAGCAGAACGCGGATTGCAGATCGTTTCCGATATTTTTGCAGTATCGCTTCGTAACGGGCGCAATTGCACTCTTCCGGATTGCATCGAGTTATACACATTCCCACTTGCCGCGGTTGGTAATCGCGAATTCCCGCCGCTTCTTGTTTTCGCGACGACGAAATTACGCGGCATTCCCGAGTCCAACGCTAGAATTAAGCAATTAGCGATAATAATCGGCTTGCTTTCGTTCCCGCGCAGACTGGCGTGACAAGCCGCGGGCTTGGAGGACTCGGGAAAATCATTGCTTCCGTTCTCGATCGGCCGACCAATCGATCGCGATCGATCGAAACGAGTCTTCAGTTTTTCATTAAGCGCTGTCTCTCTTTCTCCGCGCGCGCGCGCGCGCGCGTGTGTGTGTGTGTGTGTGTGTGTGTGTGTGTGTCCTGTCGATACACACGTTCGAATTTGTCCGACAATTAGCGCACTTTTGTTTGTCATCCATCAGCTTTGCATCGGCGCGAGAATTTTATTGCTAGAAATCACAAGGCCTTGCCCTTTTTTTGCGCTATTCTAGGAAGGTTGGCGTGGCTAGGCGTATAATTGAAATACGCGGTTATTTATTACCGATCGTACGGTGGTACGTAATTAATTGTTTCTCCCGCGGCGATTAAATCTTATCTTTTTCTCCGACAGTGATAGTGTAACGAAGAAAAAGTTGACAATCGTGATCCCGCGGAAAAGTTCCAATAGGATGTTTGTGTCTTTTGAAAATAGAATGATAGTTGGATAAAAGCGCACTCTCTTTCGACAATAAGATAACCTTCCATTATCTCGTGAGCAGGACAGATTACGTTTGGAAATATGTGGTTGTCAAATTGAAAAAGTTTTTAATTAAAGACAACAATTTTAAAATTAATTACTCCCGTATTATATCTAAGAATTATTGAAATTATAAGTTTTCAAACAGGTTTACCCCAACTCAATTATTTCACACTGCAGTATATTTTTATCATTTTCGTCTAATGATAGGTTGAGCTTCAACTGTTCGCAGTAGATTGATGACGTATATATGAGAATTTTTATTTTTCAAATTTAATTGCACTGTGGTCCGGCACGGATCACAACGATGTGCTACATTGTTATCTATAGCTTATAGAATACAGTTTACTGTTCTTAGAAGCGTCAGCTGATGCCATATCGCGAACTTGAAGTCGCGAATTACGATTGTTACAAGTTTAAAAAAAAATGCTTAAAAAAAGACGTGACATTCTCGCAGTCTCTCGTGTCACCTTTTGAACGTTCTCCATCCACGTGTGCGCTCCGAGTCCTTGCGTCAATCGTTATAAACGCGTGATTCTAAATTTACGAGCCAACGCCAGAATAGACAGTGCCTATATTTAAATAGGAAAGAAACTCGAGGATTACGCTATTAGGAAGCACTAGCGAATAATTGCAAGCAACATTTTCAAGTCCGTAGATTAGTCTGTAGCGATCTCATTTCCCCATGATACTTAACATCTAATCAAGAATGTATGTGTATGAGATTATTAATGTCTTTGAATTAAAAACAGGCATCGGTAAATACACGAGAATAAGTATCTTGTATCTATTTCAGTTTTGTAACTCTTACAATTTTGTGATTGCAGTACGATGATGGCGGGCTGCACGGGGGTTACCTCGAGGGCGGTGGCGGCGGTGGAGGCGCGGGGCTATACGATCCACACGGTAGTGCCCGCGGTGTTCCCGGCCTCCATCACAGCCCACACCTGGGAGCTATGGGCCCAGCACACCCCCAATACCCACCGCCTCCTCCTCAGCCGCCGCAGCACGTTCTCGCGGCGGCAGCTGCGGCCGCGGCCTCCGCGGTGCCCGATGTCCACAAACGTGACAAGGACGCCATATACGGGTGAGTGAGATTTTCTGTATTTTCCTCGTATATATATTGCTTTTTTGTTATCTGATGCGCGCGTCGCGCAACGCGGCGACGATCGGTAAAAACGAGTATATTATTGCGCGACGATAATGAACGCACATTTCGAAAGGCAGGTTTATCGCGATATTATTATGCACACTTTTAGCTGTTATTGCGACGATCCTACAGCTAACTTTAGGTTTGAGGTACAATTGCAGACTTACCTAATAATTGCGGTAATCGCCGACGATTGTGTAATCTATCTCTATCGGTTACTTGTCAAATTTGCATTAAAAGTACGTATCGGTGAATGTTCCATTTTCCAAAGCGGGATGTTTCGGCGAGAGACAGGTGCGAGAGCAAACGCGGGACGAACTTGAAATGCACATAAATTCGTCGTGGCCATTTGATTTTCTGAGTCGGTCTGACTCGACCTGCCTCAACAACTGCCCGTAACGGACAAGTCGTTGCTAGATCGCCGTGATTTCTTCCCGCGCTTTCGAAAGGAAGGCAATCTTTTTCTCTCTCTCTTTCCCGCTAGTGATAGAGTTGCTCTAGTGAAAACAACCATTTATGTTATATAACGTTAGCATAAAATGCTTTAATATTATAGCTATTGTTTTAGAAAGAAATATTTTTGTTTAGATTATTAAATATATTTTAATATTTTTTTTATAGAAATTTTATAGTAACGATATGTTTAAGAAAAACAAAGTTTTGGATTGAATTAAACATTGTATCATAACGAGACATAAAACACAAGCTGAAAAACTATTTAAAGTGTTCAAAAATTAATGACATCAATAATTTATAGTTTGTCGAGAAAAATATGATAATCATGCTATTGAATACTTCATGATAATACGTAATCCATACCGAAGTTATATTGTTAGTAAGAAAACGTCACTTGATATCCAAGTATCCAAGCATCAGAAAGTCTGGCTGCTTTATCGAAATATCGAAAGAGAAATAGTTTACTATTATCATTATATAGGATTCTCAATCTCGAATAATACTGACGTTACATTTCGAAGTAGCGTGTTCAGTTTTCCGTATCACGCGCGATATCGTTTTTGCGATACATTGCAAAGTCGAACAGAATATCATTACCATATGGTTAACTCCGAGAGATAACCACGTTTCAACGAGTTGTCCCCGGCTTAACGATACTTTCCGTTTTTTTCACGGTGACAATACGTATTATACTGTTTTTACGCAAATTTCTCGCTTAAGCTCGGTGTATATATATGTTATATATGTAAATTTAATAAGAAGCTACAGCAAGATTGCACGTATAAAGTATACATGAAAGTATAGATTCGATAATATACGCGATGAACTATTTTTGTCACATATCGCGATACGCGTGGCACTACTCTTTGTTCTTACATCTTATTTTTTATATTTTGTCGCAAACATTCCTGCATTTGTTTCTCCCTACATCATTATAGCTGTGGCCGTTCAGCAGCTCGTGCCACGCGCATCGTTCGTACAAGCTGAAACACGTCAATTGGCCGTTTTACGGAGCGGCTCGGCGGCCGTGTTCCGCGTGATTTATAGCCGCGAGATGCCCCGATTTCTGATGTACGTCCTAGAACGGGAGCCTCATTATTCTGTGCACCCTGTAATTTGTCCATTCGTCGTGTGCCCCGGTCCGACCCGAGCAGGAGATTCCACAACTTTCTCGGAACGCCGCCGTCGCTGCTGTGCCGTGCCTGCCTCGCTGGAACGAGCGCTTTCGGCGCGGTTATACGCGTGTACGCACACTCCCGTCGCTGGGAGGATCCTGTTCCTATCGTGTAGCGGTATCTTAAATTTCGGTTATTTTGGAGATTAATTGAAAGGCGAAGATAAATTCGGATTAAGTTCGTTTAAATTCTTTTTATTTGAAAAATTGACGAAAAAATAGGGAGAGAGAGAGAGAGAGATAGAGAGAGAGATAGAGAAAGAGTTTATTTTTACTCGTTTTAAATAATTTCCAATACAAAATTTGAATCTTGAAATATATCTTTCTTTTTTTATTTGCATTAATTCCGGGAATATCTATGACCTCAGACTATGCTACGTTTGTTTTTTCTCACTGCTAAAAAAACCTCGGATGTTAAGAATACTCGCGTCTATACCTACGGATTAATCCTGATTTATACAATACGCTTTTGGTGAGGTCGGATTGAGTCGTTTGCTTGCAGAATCCGTAGCCATTTTTGTCCCATGTTTCATCCGAGTCGATTAATTCGTCTATTAAAGCCGCGTGCGGGACTTTCCACGTGCGAGGAGATTGATGCTGCTCATGCTCGAATGTAATGAGGCGCGGCAAGAAGAGAAAAAGTCAGGGACATCTTAATGCATTTTATTGCATAGGATGAATTTTTAAAACAAGTTGCATAAATATAAATGTATATAGAGATGGATTTTACTGAGATTTTACTAACGTACATGTTGTAATAAAAGATAAAGAAGCATTTTACAAATCTTTGGTGACACATATGTATACAAATAAAACTTTTAATAATTTAATATATTTTAATGCTATATTTTTCGCTGAATTTTCAGTCATAATAATAATAATAATAATAATAACAACATATTTTTCAATATTTTTAATATTTTCTTAATTAAGGTATGGTACAGTACAGTAATATATTTAATAAGGCGCATGAGTCGTAAACGTTTAAAATAATGTAGAAAAAGAATCTTGTCCCTGATTATTTTTCCATCGTGACGTTGAGATTCTCCTCGTAAAGTTTTACGTAAGAACCGGATGTAACGTGAAGACGAAACTAACCGATCACTGGAATCTTGGCTTATGCAAGGGGTCGTTTACGGATTAGACGTCTCGCGAGTCTTACGCAAATCCGAGCGACAATTTATCGCTCGACAGACGGAGAAGTGCTATCGTTCAATTATCGATCGTTTAGTGAAATAATAAGAAACCCCATGGGTATTGTTTCAATGATTGGCGATTTAATTGATCTACCTTTTCTTGGCTTCCTCTGCGAAAAAATGTTATCTTTGTGCTATTATTCGCAAAAAAAAACAGGTTTTTTTCATAGTTTTCTTAGATTGATTTATGAAGTGTACGAGGAAGTGTAAAGGTTTTAGAAGCTGTAACATCTTATGCTATTATTTATAACTGTATTTGAGAATAATATATCGTAAGCTGAAAGAATAGGGGATTTCAAAATGTTTATTAATTTTATCTATTGTAACCATTGTACAGAAATTTTTTCACTTTTGACAGAAGATTTTACTGTAATAATTTATGATTTTCATGAAAATTGTTTTTCTTGCGCGAAGAAATTATCTGACATGGTCGATTGATATACGCAATTGCGTCCTATAATAAACAACGAATCTAACAGTTAGCTAATTGGAGTGCTTTGTAAATGGTTGCATTTATAAGTCACGGCAAATTGTAATAATTACATTACTTTTATCCTCGGTTCTTTCTTTGGCTTTGATCTCTCTCTCTTTCTCTCTCTCTCTCTCTCTCTCTCTCTCTCTCTCTCTCTCTCTCTTTCTCGACTCGTCGTTTCCATGACTTGCGTTTTATATTCGATTATTATGCGCATCGGTATTGCGATCACGATCTCGCATTTGCGACGAAATCGAAAGACATTCTCAAAATTACTACACCGCCAACAAAATTAAGCCATGCGCGTGAAAACGTGTCGCTGGTCGTTTAGCAAATCGTAAACCGCGGTATACGGCGTGAAATTGACGATGCTCGTGCGCAATAATAAGAGTCGGTAGAAAGAGAGCGCGGGGGAGGCGTAGGGAAAGAGAAAAAGACAGAGAGAGACAGGCGGGGGGAGGAAGGGAGGGCAGGGGAAGGGAAAAGAGGGAAGAGGCGTCGATTTGAGGGGCGGAAACCGCAAAACCGCAAACATCCCCCATACTGCGTACAACGGCCCAATCATATCATTACCTTTTGCGGTCCCGTCATTATGACACCTCGTTTCTGGCCGTCGTTTGTCATCGACGTTGCACTTTGTTGCGCGACCGCGTTTTCAAGAAACGCGCACTTAAAGTACCGCCGGGCGTTCAATCGCGGGACCCGCAACGCGCGGCTCGGTGGTTTTCCTGGGCCGCGCGTAAAAAGGAGAGAAACTGTGGCATCCGATTGGCTCCGCGAGGCCTGAGAAAATGCCGAGCGAGATTGTTGAGATCGTCGAGAATCGCGAATCTTATTCTCGTGAGGTTCGACTCTGCCAAAAAAGAAAGAGTGATCACTTTGTTCCGTGCGATTTTTTACGTTTCCTAATCCATACGAAAACGATCTCACGAGTCGCGTTAGCCATCTTCGGATCTCATTAGAAGCGTAAAAAGGGAGACGGAGGAGCTTTCAATACCGCTGGTAGCGCGCGAAAAATCTAAATTAACAATTACCGCGCGACGTTGCGTTAAAATCGATTATCCGGTGGTGGACGGTCCGTGTGGTGCCGGGGGATAGGAGTCCGAGGAGGAGCCGCGGCAAGTAGAGGCGATAGAGATATGGACAAGGAGAAAGCGGGGAAAAAAACGACTACATAGGTAAGACCACACTGTGGTGATGGTGGCGGGCGAAAGGGGTAAAGTCGACGGGGGCTTTTTTTTCCGCCTGGTCGGGTACCTTGGCTCTGGTCCGTTCATTGTGGTGGTTCGGTTCGGTCAGGTTGGCGCGCACAGGAGAGTACGTTGCTCGCGGCGGCCACGTCAATTTGTCGAAATTCGTTCCGAATCGTTTTATGTCCGCCACGCCGCGAGACGCGACCCGCTACCATGCGCACACAACGCCTCCACTTTGGCGGCTACCACGTTCGCGCCGCTCCTTCTCTCTCTCTCTCTCTCTTTTTCTCTCCGTCTCGAACCTCTTGAGGGGCCGAGACCCCTCTAAGGTTTCATCGCCGTCTTTGAAATTGTATAACCCCCACGGGACGGGACGAGCCGCGAGCTAAAAATCCGTGTCAATGGTCACTTTTAACCGACGTCGTCATACATCCAGTATGTATAGCCTATTTATTATATATAGACGTTTAATGATTTATTTATTTGCAAAACTTTTTTACCGTAAAGATTTTATATTTCGGAATTTTTTACATTTATTATTAATTATTGTTTAAGACTGAGAGTGCTTTAAAAGGGATAAAGAAAACTAACATGTACGAGGGATTTTCTATTAGTTGCCGTGATATATTAATTCTGTGTAATTTGTTGAATAGCACTGTCAGTTCCTAGTCTTCCCGCATTCGCTAACATTCGTCTCAAATAAACGTGCATACAAATTAAATGCACTGTTTTGTGGAAATTTACTTTGCGTATTTAAGCTGCGTATGTACACTCTTATCATCTCTTGTCCACCTGTGTCTCTAATTTACATACGACTTGATCGTTTGACAAATTCTAAAGTAAAATGTTAACGATACGAACGCAAATTAGAAGTCGATGTGAGCTTTGTTTAACTTCAAAATGACGTCAACTGCATTTGCATACTCGGCAATGGTAAATATGTCCTTCTTTTGTACATCGCTCTGAAGTTAAATTTCATATAAGCGACTCAATGTAGACGTTAAGTAGAAAAATTTCTCTGTGAACAACGTCATGCGTTACATCAACAAACAAATAATTCCACGTCACAGAATTGTGTCAGGCATTAAACCTCGATGTTAAGCCCCTGTTTGCAACAATGTTGCACAGGCACCGACCTAATCTTATCTTATCCTCCTAATGTCGCATTGGTAAGCGTACTTTACGTGTAACACGCGCTTATACGCACAAAGGAATATTACGCCGTATCGAGCGGTACGACAACCTCTTCCATTTTTTCTCCCTCCTTTCTTCTCCTTACTCTCTTTTCTCTCTCTCTCTCTCTCTCTCTCTCTCTCTCTCTCTCTTTTGCTTGCTCGTTCTCGCTCTGTCCCTCATCGAATCATTTTAAGGATTTTCCATATAGGCTTTTTTTGCATCTTGCATTTTTTAATTAGATCCTAATTATTAATGCAGTTATTTATCAACGCAGCCATTTTATGCTGTTTAGCTTTCCTCGTTTAAAAAATAACGAATTAAGTCAATTTTATTTACATAACTTGTATCGTTTTAGTAGCTAAACTCTGACTAGTGTTTTTAGACGCGGGTCTGGATCTATCGCGATCGATATAAACGTAAGTCAAGACTAACTTAACGAAAAAAACGATTCGCGACTGTGTTCATTATTTAGCACGCTCTATCCATTGAATTTGCAGTTTTCCACGAACACGTTATTTCGCTCTGATTGTTATTGGCAAAGAAGACCCATTCGTTATTATCGACCATTTTTCAATTTGTCCCTGGATATACAGCCCAATGCGTGTTCACGGATTATGAATAAATTATGAATTAAGCTAAGGAAAAGACGGTAGAAGTTGAACAATTTTTATTTGCTGATAGTGTCTCACAGAAAGATAGGGTATAAATTTATTACACATAAAATGGGCGCTCGGGTGCGCGCGTTTGCAGAGATAATGATCGATATGACAGGAAATCGTATTACTGAAAAGTACAACTACAATAATAATAAATATGCATAAGAATTTGCAACTATGGAATAAGAATAGAACATCTAGAACTGCGGTAGTTAGCCAGTGTTCTATAGGTCTCCGCGCGTAACATCGTTTTTCCGCGTAAGAAAATGCAGGGAGCGAAATCTAATGGTCGTACGAAGGCGGTCGGAATCATTTTTTTTTTCCACGTGGACGGCAGTGAAGCAATCCCCTGCTTTTCGGTTAAGCGCTTCACGCCGGATTTCGCTTCTTCTGCCACCACGGTTGTCCGAGTTAATTGCGTCCTCGTAGCGCTAACAGGCGGCCCACCCTGTCGGTCACGCGCGGATAAGAGAAAAACGCTACGCGGATAAAAGAAAAACGTGCGGCCGGGTCTACCGCCGCGCGCGGACGAGACTTTGTGTCGATTCAGATCGGCTTTTTCGCACGGGCCACGCCTCGGCGATTCGAGAAACGCGCGCTATTTACGGACATCAGCGGCACACGGAACATCCAGAACACTCGTGGAGTAGGAGACACTCTTCGGGCGCAGGAATCCAATAGCCTTTAATTAGTATACTATTCCGTAGTTTTAGGACTGTTGTCGTCACGACGAGGAATATCATTATTACCGCGTATTTCTTTACGATACGTATATACGAGATCTGCTAATTACATCGATCTCGAGTAATTAATTACATTCCTGAACGCCAAGTTTGTTTCGCGTTCTCGAGATTTTCGCGCCTCCTTTCGCAAGCGCCGACGCGCGGTCGTTATGTAATATCGCGGGCATCGGATAATAATTTATCGCCTCTTCGCAGAAATGAATCGGGCCAGAAGCCGTCGGCCAGAAGCTCGAAAGATTGCGGTGTTAATTAGCATGCCTACCGAGATCGGCGCTGCTTTGCGAAACGGGCGATGCGGTACGCTCCGTTAGCATAATGCGTATCTGCTGCCGTTCGCGCGCTCAGGCGCTCACCCGTCTTGCGTTATTCCCGTTATCTTCAAGCGCACTCTCTCGCTTCTTCTTTCAGACACCCCCTGTTCCCGCTCCTCGCACTCATATTCGAAAAGTGCGAGTTGGCAACGTGTACGCCGCGCGACCCCGGTGTAGCTGGTGGTGATGTCTGTTCGTCAGAAAGCTTCAACGAGGATATCGCCGTTTTCTCAAAACAAGTAAGTTTACAGAATATTAAATGTGTATAGAGAAAAAAAATATATATATGTATATATGTATAGAGATGCGATGCATGTTGCATCGCGAGCATTATTCGACGTATACCCGTTGTTCTATTTATTAATTTATAGACCAGCTTATCTTGATAATCAAATTTATATCTGCCAATTAATAAATGATTGTATATGATCGGGATGATATTTTTTTAATGCAGACTGACTTGCTTGAGTGGCTCAAAAATAAAGGGATTTTATAAACAGTTAGGAGTCGTTTTCAGCGTTTTTTCGGTATGTTTTAAAAGGTCGAGATCCTTGGACGCAATCCTCGCGAAAATTTTACGATTTTGTTCGGCGAACTGTCGCACGATTCTTCCGTGAGAGAATGTCCCACAGTGATTTTCGAGCCTTCACATGAGTCACGAGGAGAGACGCGCGTTTCGTCTCCGTCCCGAAACTGTAGATAGTGTAGATCCATCGCACGAGACTCTCACTAGCGTGTCTCAAGCCTCGAAGAAGAAGAAGAACCCTGCCTATCGTGGGACTTATTTTTAGGATTACCGTTGAGGAGACCCGGGGCCCGGGTATATACGGGCCCCGTTCTAGCTACGAGGCAGAAGATTCGCTCGCTCGCTCGCTTGCCCGCTCGCTCGCGCGCGCGTGAGCGCGTTTTTTCTCTTCCCTTGCTTCCTATTTTTTTCTTTCCCTCTAGCGGCTCACCTGAGGCTGGTCCCCCCAAGGACACGCGTAGGTAACTCGAGAGCCTATGGGGCCGCATGCCGTGAAACGATTTGGACCTTTTAAAACATACCATTTCGCTGTCTGCGTGCTGGATCGCGCACGTAGGTCTGCTCTCGAAGGTCTACTCGGAAAGTGTACCGGTCGAGCGCGCGTTTCCGCGTGTTTTTTTCTACAGATACAATAAATTGCTCGCCACAGACATTTGCATCGATAACATGATGGAACGTGATATACCATAGCTATAACGGCAAATGTCATTCGGTTAGTAGAGGAAAGTAGAAGAACGATAATTCTATATCTGAAGGTGTCACCTTTGCTTTCTACTGTTGGTCTACTTCGAAGTGTTCTACTTCAAAAGTATTGAATTAATAATCAACAATTTATGTAACTAAGCGTTGATATATTGAATTACGTAGCGTGGGCGCATATATATAATATCTCGGTTTATTCTGTGAATAATAAATTTTCTTGATACGAGAAACGCGATTAATCAGAAATAGGTCGAAAATGATATTTCAACGGATGGAGCGTAATGAAAAAAATTCATTCACTTCTGCCCGTCTTTTTTACGTAATTTTCTAGAAATGTAGCATTCACGACAACACATTAAGCCGAGGCGACAGAACGGGCAATAAAAATGTTATCGTGCTCGTTTGCTTATGGTGAAGCGATGCAAACGAATTCAGCACATTTAGATTGAAGGGTATCGGACCCATTGCGCCTTGCATCGTTAGATAGCTGTAACCTCCAGTTATTTTCAGTCGTTGTGCGACCGATGTAATATAGGGTTTAGTATCGTGCATCGTGTATCATTAATTAAATTCTTAACCGAGATAATAGATAATACGTAATACGTGTCATTGCACAATAGATATGCGATCGCAAGAATTTTCGCGAATAACTTACACTCACGCGATCGCGCTCGCGCGGCGTCATTATCGCGCTGGAAGAAAAAGAAATTCGCCGAGACTTACATCTAAATATAGGGTGTCGGTAATACGGTAGCAGTGGCTTTGAGCAACGCTATGCCGAGATAACGATAAGAATTAAGCCTCGGCGCGAGGTAGGATAAGGTGGCGACCCGTGTGTATACATTATTTTGTCTCGTTGATGCCGAAAAGCACACCAGACGATAAGAACACTCCAAATTTCCGGCGTATCAAGATTTTCGAGATAATTAAACGCGAATTGTTTTTCTTTCTCCAGCATAATTTTTTTTCCGCCGATAGAGAAAGCGGAGCGTAATGAAATTCGCGAAAATCGCGAATCTCTGTGTTATTTATCTACGAGCCAGCGTCGACGTTATTACGCCGGTGTGCACGGCGTCGAATGTACCCCGGTGGCGTTGCGAAACTGACATGATATTTGCATCTTAATAAGGCGCACCATAAGGTGCATTTCAAAACGTGCGCCGACGGAAAATAAAGCTTATGACTATACGGAACGTTTATTCCGCGACGGTGCCGCGCGCGTGTATCGTCTTAATATGATGCCGCTTCTTACTCGAATATTTTCCTCTTTCTCCCTTGACGTCGAAATTAACGTTCCGTGATTAAATCCGTACAATATCCGAGATAGAAATTGACAGTCATGTAGTCCTTTTCTCGAATCTATATCTGGCTCCTTTAATAACGATAAATTAATAATAACACAATCGGTGGCAAGGAAATGGATAACGAAGTAAGCTTAGAGAGAAAAATTGCTGCATTTTATTGTACTTGTGTTTAGAGTGTATATGATATCACGTCAAGTAGAACATATGTTTGAGATGGTTAATTAATTTATATTGATTAGGGATGCTCAACTGATACACGATTATTATCTCAATCAGATATTCTTACATTCTTTTAATGTGAGTAATACATTAATTTTTGGCACTTATCGACGTTTGAAATTCGAAGATTGTCTTCAATTTATCAGTTTACTAAATTTTATCGACAATCTTTTTAACAACTTAAAATTCGCTTTGCGTTAACTTGAAAGTATCTAACTGTCGTTGAAACCAGCGTATTCCATTCCTCTTTCTTGCGCGTTCTAATCTTCTCTAAGAATATTCCTAGGATACCTGTAGCTGTTTTTACGCGAGAACGCGTCTCGGATGTATCGTACATCTCGGGAAACATCAACACTTCGCAAAGCATCGATATTCAGGCGAGCGTTGCCTTTGAAGGCCGTCACTAGGCGCGTAGGTCTCTCACGCACACGCGACGATGCACGTTGGCAGATAAGCAGGTGACAATCCTCTTGCGGCGGTTTCCGAGGCGTGCCCTGTGAGCCGTGCCCTCGTACCCCTCGGTGTCCCCTCGCGCTCCGTATATCGGTACCGCTGCGGCGATAGGGCCATACGACAAAAGGGCCGCATGCTGCGCGCGGGATTATTTCGCGTTTCGTTGCGTGCGTACCGTGCGTGCGTGCATACCATGCGTGCGTGCGTGCACGCATGCGTCATGGCTGCCGCGGGGCACGGCGCATGCGCGATCTTCAGTTGGGGCCCGACCACGGCGGTCGTCGAGTCGTGAGAAGCATCGAAGCGTGGAGAGTCGAGCCGGGACGATAGCAGTAGGGGGGCCGGAGAGGCGTCGAGAGGGGCATGCGATGCAAGATGGGAGTGGGGAACTGCTCATTTTCTGCCATTGTAAATTGATCTATTCAATGGGTCCACTATTATCCCTCCCTGCGGTCCACGCATCGTGTGCCCTATGGGGCCGCGATGTTCCAAGTCTTCCGTGCCCCCTTCTGCCCTTCTACGTTCGCTCTCTCTTCTTCTCTCTCTGCCCTCGTCAGAGACTTCTCGGTCCTCTTTCTCTATCCTATCTCGATTCGCGCGCGCACTCGTTGCCTTCGGAACATCGTTGCCTGGCTGCAACGTGCCATCGGTTGTACCCCCGCTGCGCTGCGTTACGCTGTGCCTTTGTTGCGCCTTTTTTCACCCACCAAAAGAGGCATCTAGCTCTTTTTTTTCGCGATCATCGCCGGCGACCACGTCGACAAAAAAAATTTACTTGCGCTTCGTCGCCTCGTGGCCGCGCACCACCTTTAACGTGAATCTGGCCGGTCAAATGAGCGTCGCCGATGTTCGCTCGACTGAATAAAAGCTCTTAATCCGTACTTATCTACTTACGAAGACTCGACTTTAAAGGAATTTTGTTGCAACAGGAAATTAGTGATTAATCGCGTTAGAGATCTATTATTTTGCTACTGTTTAACTGAAATTTTACGAGAGACAATTAGGCATATGTATCTATACAAGCTTAAGGGAGTTATTTATTCATATTGAAAATAATTTTTTGATTATTTTTAACATATATGCTCACCACCAAGTACAAGTACGATAATTCGTTATTATTAGCGAGATATTCTCCCTTTGTATAATTGCGTTTTATACAATGAGTCGAAACTGCCGAAGCACTGAATACGGAGACGTGGGCGTCCGTGCACTCATCACGATATCTCGATTCCGTGTCGTGCTCACAAACACATGGAAAGAAAGAGGCGAGCGAGAGAACCGAGAAGAAAGATTCTGTAGCGATTTATTGGTACAATTAGGATCCACCTTTCTCTGGCAGCATTAAGCCCTCATAAAATGCCATCTCTCCCCTCCCACTGATGATCGCTAGATGAATGCATTTTATTCAAAGCTGTCGGTTCTTTTTCTTTCGGCATTTATTGACTTACTTCTGTTTGATTACATGACTTTAAGAACTTATACAAGTACAAGAATATTGTAAATACTACATTTATAAAATTGTTTTTACGTTGAAAAATATTTATATGAAATCATTGATAATATGATATAATATGGTCTAAGAAGTCAACGAGAAATCCTGTGCCATCGAGATGCTGCGGTTTTAAAATTCGAGGTCAATTAACTAAACGAAACTCACGTGAAGCTTGAATAGGTATTTGAACCGGTTTTCCATTACCTGAGAGAGACGTTATCGCAATGTCATCGGCGAATTAGACTGTATTTAAAATGATCATCAAATTTTAATTGAAAATTTAATTGAATGTTAAAATAGAATAAAAACGGTATGTTTAATGGTATGAAATTTAAAACTTAAAATTAGATATAATATTTTATTAAGAAATTTGTAACCAAGAAAAATTACTTGAGATTAATGTTGAAATTCATGATGAAGTAAAACCTTTGGCGTTGATGCAAATATTTTTGAAGCAATAAACAAAGCTGCAGGACTTCAATCCACTGTAAGTTTAGCTTTCTGGAACTATTTTGAACTGCATTTCCAACACGTTACAGATTTCCCCGTTTTAATTGTTTTAACACCAGGCGTGTATACACGTTTAATTCTGTTGTTACGAGCCGCACGACTATCGCCGGCGGTCTTGCCGTGTTACAATTTCGCAATTATCGCATTCTAGCGTAAATATCTCCCCGTTTTGACGTGTGCTACTACGCGATAGCGATCACGCGATATCACGCGCTCTGCCGCGGTTCTCCTTCTCGCGACTCGGCGCGGCGGCCGCTCGTGTCATATATTCGTTTGCAAAAAACACGTGCCGTGTACTCATTCGTATCACATAGGGTCTTGACTCTGTACAAAAATTACTTTAAATAACCGAGAGAAATCACAACTTTGTGAAAGACGTCAATCACTCTATTTAGGAAAGTCAGTTGTCTATGGGGTTCCGGAAGAAATTTTGTTCTTTTGTTTTATCCTTTTGTTAGACTATTAGACCGTTAAAGGGTCCATGTCGAATCCCAATTTGAGAGTCAGAGAAAGTTATTACTGGCTCTCACTAATTTAAATTATCGAATTGTATTCAGTGCTTTGTGTAGCTTACAATCGGAAACGATATAGTCCCAAATTTAGTCAATAGTCTGTCATGTGTATTTCTACTTTTAAAGAAAATATTTGTTGCGTGAGTAGGGTTATAGAGTGAGTAAACGAAAATTTCTATCTGCAAACCTTGAAGAACAATTGTTATATAGTCTTTTCACTTGTGCATTGTTTTTTTGCGAACGCCTAAATGTCCTAGGATCGTGGACCATTTATGCCATTGTTCAAAACATCCTTTCTCTCTTTGAATACGGTTACCGTCATATCGCATAAAATAAAAACCCATTATATTTGTCAGCATTTTCTAAATGCTTAGTTATACACGATCTATACACAACGTATATATAGAGAACTTTTGGAGATACTTTTACTCGACTCTGTGCAAAAATTACTTTGTAAGAAGAGAAATTAACCGTGTAACATAAAAGACATCAATCACTCTATTTAGGAAAGTCAAATGTTTATGGTACCGGAAGTTCTTTAGTTTTATCCTTTTGTTAGAGGGCCCATGAATCTTAATTTGTGAGTTAGAGAAAGTTGAAGTCCTTTTTTATTTTGACCTTAAGAAACTCGTGCATATAAGATTTGGTAGTAAGTTGCTATTTTTGTAATTACTATAAATTATAATGTTGTTGTAGACAAGAGAAAGTTGAAACAATAAGAATTCGGTTTTAACATTTTTTTTTATTAAGCGGTATCCATAATTAATGTAGAGAATCTAAGCCGATTTTTAGTACTTTTTGAATTAAAAAAAAAAAACTTAAATTTGAGAAAGTTATAGCTTGCTAAAGTTTCTTTGATGACGGCAACTTTAAAAGGTATGACGTCATTTCTTATATAAGATATGACGTCTCAGCACATTTTCGTGTATTATATTTTCTTCAATTTTGAAGATATTGCAAAAATTCAAAAAGTTTACAAAGAAAGTATGCCATGATCTATCAGACCGCTTAATAAAAGAAATTCATGTTAAAATTGAATTGCTGAAAAGAACATTGAAATTAATTGTTTTTTTTTTATTGTTTCTATTTATTTTGATTTGCACAAAACATATTCGCAACTGTGAACATTAAATGAAAAGAAATTCTTTGAGGTTTATTGAGAGTATTAAATATGTTGAGAAATAGATGGAAAGGAATTAGAAAATTTTTCGCCCATGTCACGTATTCCAGTCTGCTTAGAATTCTCCAACTGCTCAGAAGGGAAGGGTTTTACGAAGGGTTCGAGGGGGCGGCAGCAATAGCGGAGGCAAGAGAGCAGCAGCAGCAACAGCAGCAGCCTCCAAAGCAGCTGCTTCGTATATCTCTCGGCAGGATCGGCGCACACCACGTACGCAATACGTGTGCGTATATGTATTCTCCTCCATGTGGTATTCGTACGTGCACACGAGGTCGCCCCGAACAGACACCCCGCGTGCCGGAACGAGAGCATTCTCTAAATATTATCGCACAATATTTTTACCGCCTCCGCGCCGTGCGCGCTGAGTTATGCGCCTGACAGCCAAGCGAATGCTGACGTTTCTATACGCATCTATCGATGTTTGTTTTCTCATCGAACATCCTCGCCGCGAACGGTCGATTTTCTCCGCCATCATCATGCGATGATACCGCACTTTTCCCTTCTACAGGAGCATACATTGCGTTATCACTGTTTCAATATCGTAATGAGTTATTTCTTATATCGTTATACAAACCAATTTCTTCGTAAATTACATGGAATATATTGTGCGACCCTCGTAGAATTAAACGCTGACTAATTGATCTTCTCGAATTTCATTTACTTTCTTTCAGACATTGTGAATCTTTTTGTTCCACGAACTGTTGCCAATTTTTTTTATGGATGCGTCCAGTTCCACGTGTCGGCATATGATTCGAGCGACTACATCGTTTTAGGAAAAACTATGTGCAAAGAATTAAAAGCAGGGGGAAGGGCCACGCCGAAAACAGAATGGGCTGTTTACAATTTGTAATCTTGCCTACCTGGCATGGCGCTACCCCGCCGTTCGAGCAGACCGTCGAAAAAGCGCGATGACAGGACCGCGTAAGAACTCTAGCCCTCCTTCTTACCTCCCCTACGAACAGTTGACAGTATTTTTGTCGCATGAGACGCCTTCATTATCTATACGCCGGAGCGGGAGAGCTCCGAGGACTTCCATTCAGAATTCCGGGCTCATGAATACGCGGGCTCTTGCCTGGGAATTCGTGCGTGCGGACAATATTTCATTATCCGATCTTTTTCTCTCATAGAGGAGCGACGTTCCTGACTAAATCTCACATTTCTCGACTCTTTGGATACTTTCGACGCTGTAAGAGAGAAGTCATTCAATCTGTTTGAAGAGTCTTATCCTGTCTCTTCGGGACTGTTAACGTATTCACCCGCATGTAACAAATAATGATGTTATAATAACTTCGAGAACCTCGCGCTAATCTTTCACAAAGTAAGAGTGGAACAAGTGGACGAAAAAAAGAGATTAAAAAATGTGTATTCTTTTTCTTATTAATTTATTTTGGCAATTTATTTACATACAGTTAGCGCTTCTTCCGCGACGAACGTAATTATAAGTCTCGTAAGATCCCGAAAGATCTAATCTGATCGTTCAATCTGAAAAGCATAACTCGTTTGTCTCAGACTCCATAAGACGTGTTGGCTCTGCCAACGAGATTAGTCGTGCGATTCTTACTGTCTTCTTTTCATCATGAAATCCGAACGCCAAACACGAGAGCGGTTTTGTTTCCATTCTGATCGGCTACTCTTCCACGCGGCGCCATGAAAACGCCTGAGAATCTTACCGCTTCCTTCTGCTTCCTCTATCGTCCGTCTGCCTTCTCGATTTGCCGCCGGGATTCCATCGCGTTCCCCGACGCGTTTCCGTTTCTGTACGTACGAATTCAACAGTGGGGGTCCAATTAAGAGGAAGCACGCGAAGGAAATCGCTTAAAGAAAATAGGTGGGAAGATGAAGCGGGAGGAGCGAAGGGGCAGGTGTGGCGCGGGGGGTTTGGTTGTGCTCATGTGTGTGCATCTCTATACCTATATGTATGTATGTACACCGGTAGGCGATACGATCGTCCGTGTAGCTTTAATACCGCAATTACGCTGGATCCAATTATTAACGCTCTTACACGTGTGTCTGTGTGTTACAGATCAGACAAGAGAAGCCGTACTACATTGCAGATCCGGAGGTGGACTCGCTGGTGAGTGTTTCCTTATTTATTCGTCTGTATACGTGTAAGGGAGACGCCCGTGTTGCATCTCTCGGTATATCATTCATCTGCGGCATATAAAGTCCGTCGCCCAGCGCGTCAGACGCATCTAATCTCATTTTCCCTTCCTTCGCGGAGATTGTTGTAAAATTCGTGCGAATTTAAACGCGAGAATCGCGAAACACGGCTCGTTCGTCTCGGTGAGACATCGACGATTAATTATGGGAGCAATTAAAGAAGAGGATGCTTCTTCGAGAGAGCGAGCGGACCGCAAGACCGTGCGTTATCCGATTTAGCGGCATGTAAATAGCGAGAAATCTTGCTAGTCGCGTTTTGTCTTCCCTGACGACTCTGCGGCGCACGTCTAATCGCTCAATTTCATCGAGCGATCGCCCATCGAGATACCCAAATACGGTCGGCCGACTTCAACGACGAAATAACGAGCCAGGAAGTAAGGTTACGACGCGCGAGTCACCGCCAGGGTTCCACACTTTTTTTTTTCTCTCTCTCTCTCTCTCTCTCTCTCTCTCTCCCAGCGAGTGGAATAATTAACGGAGCGCGTTATCGTTGCGCGCTTCCATTCGTAGTTATTCCGGTCGGAACACGGATTCGGAGTTTCACGAGGGCGGATACATTTATTATGTGATATCTGGACGATAAAACAGCGTGGCCCGGAACAAACCACATACTGCATTCTTCTGGCTATTTCCTAAATGTAATTGAAACTATCTGCAATTACCCTAGATCTTTCTTTCGTTAACAGATTGAATTAAAAAATAAATAAATCTACAGTTTCATTATTCGCTAAATAAATGGCTACATCGTGGCACAACGTGGCTTGGTCTGTATTGCTGTAGCAGAAGATCGATGACGTTTTTTTAGGCTTAATTCATGACGCGGTAATTAAAGATCGAATAAATAATATGCACGCAATGTTATATACACTATTGTTTTTCTTGACGAGAAAGCGAGTGGCTATTTCGTTCGAAACTTCGGTGGGACGCGGAGGAAGAAATATTTTAGGCGACCCTTCATGCTCTCTGATCGAGATAACCGAGTGAAATGGGTTTTTTAAATAACTCCGAGTGTGTATTTTCTCGTCGGGCAGGAACGCGAACATGCGGCTTTGCGGCGATGGTTAGGGCGACTTAGGACCGATCCGCCATTACAAATTCCTCGAGAAGTCGTTGCCATCTCTTGTCGTCATTGTGTTCCGCAATATTTTTTCACAAAGATCACTGAAAAGTGATCTCAATGAAATTTGCAGTCGTCATTTTTCCTGGAATCCATTCACGTGCAGGGGTTTTTAGATAATTTTTAGTGTTATTTTAAACAACAATTTCTTAAATATAATTAACATATATATATATATATATTTATAATTTCACGTATTTAAAATAAATTTAGAATATGACAGTTTAAACCATATTCAAAATTGAATTACAAAAAGTTAACAAGAATTTGATGAGATATTTATTGGAAAATGTTACAGAATTCTACAGAAGAGAAATGTTTAATGAATTGTAATTTTAATAACCTATATATCTATCATTTATATTTAAATCAGTACGTGTCCAGAATTAAATTTTTCTCATATCCCGTTTGTGTTTCACGATCAGTTTAACAAGAATACATTTAAACAATATATTTTTATTGGGATTATGTTTGGAGATCGTATTTTTTATCGTCATTATTTTTGTGAAAATTTCGGCTTTTTTCCTTCATAGACAGTTTTTATTTAAACATATATGAGCACTATATTTCTCAAAAATCAACATGTTGAGCTAATGCCAAATTGTTGTTGCGCTTGCTTTGATTTTTTTACATGGACGAAAGCAAGATAGAACGGTGACGAGAAATGCATTTCGTTGACCGTGTTCTCGCACTGTTGCCCACAATTTTTCGAAACGTCACGTCCGTTACCTGGCTTGTCACGACCATGTCGAGTCACAAATATTCGGGCCAGGCGGCACCTTGCGCCTGCGGCTGCCGTTGTCACAACTGCCGATTAACCTTATTTAAAAATATTAGCGTAGATGTAGGAATCTAGAATAATCTATAAGATAATGACAAAATTGTTTTGTTTGCTTATTTGCGACACAAATGCAAGGCGAGAAAAAAAATAATTAGTAACAATAAAATCTAACATACAAAACGGTTACGTCAAAATTACATTAATATATAATTGTTATATCAGGTTTTGAGGGTCTGAACTTTTTTTAGATTTACTGCTATAGAGCTTTTGGTCTAAGTATAAATCACGTAAAAATAAGTCTCGTCGATGATTTATGTCTTGACTTTTGCGCCACGAGGTCGGAAGTGCCATCGGCGTTTGCGGTCGTTGTCTTTCGTGCCGATTGTGCGCGCATTGCTCTCGGCTATCTCCGGCATGCATTTGCAAAAAGCCGCCCGTGGCAGGTGTTACGAGTAGTAAATCGAGGGAGTTAAATGGGCTTGGCGGATAAAAATTTTTGAATCGTCTACCACTGTTGGCGCGGCCAACCTGTCGCGAAGGTAGCACCGCTAGAGGAACGTCTCCTCGGGGCTGGTGCAACTCGCCGTTGCATTCGTCCGCGCGCCGCGCCGCGCCGGTGCAGTCACCGAAGTTATTTACCAGTTGCCGTAGGAAGGCCGGCGGAAGGTGGCGTGGCTTCATTACGTCCGTGGCAAATCGCAATCTACGAGCAATGAGCCTCTATCGTAAAGAAGAGGCACGTAACGTTCGCGCTTTTTGCGCCTCGTCCACTTCACCCTCTTTCTCTCTTCCGCCGTATTCCGTCCTTTCGACCCTTCTCCGTTCTCTTCCTCCTCGACTATCTCCGACTCCGCGACTTCTTTTCTTCTTCCTCATCCTCCGGCCGTCTTTCTTCTACGTTCTCTATCTCCCAGACAAAGATCCTCCCTCCTGCGCCCTACGCCAATCGAGCGGGGCTTTTTGCCGATAATTTCGCAGAACGGAAAAGTCACCGAGTGAGATTGCTTTCCGAGCCGTGGCGAGAGACTCTACCGTTTTCTTCGCCGGTTGTTAGCGGTCAGTAGCGCAGTGAAGAGACAGTTCTGCCGGTTCTCTTCTCTATAGTATTACGCACGGCTGAGTGAGCGTGAGGATGCTCCAAGCTCAGTAAATTCGGCGTCATTGTGATCACTACTTTGCTATGCAAAATTCAATGCGGCTAGGGAAAGTCCGTATAGCAAAACAGAATCTCACTTGGATCGTCCGTCATTAGTTAGTACAAATAAAACGAGCATCCGTGAAAATGACCATAAACAATGGTTAGACAAATGTCATAAATGAAACAACGATACACTTTCACGAATTTCTCTGATTCTTTGTAAACTTTAATTTGTCGTGCTAAAACGTGTGCAGACCAAACGTAACGAATGCTCGTTAAAAAAATCACTTTAAAAATGAATCCACGAGGGTCTTCGAGCGGTCTCAGATGGTCGAGGGAGCGACACGCTCTCAGACGTCTCCGCGCGCGCGTTCCGGTAAATCGTGGAGAATTTCCTGATGGTGCTAAACGGGGAAACCGCGCGAGGAGACACCACGTGGGCGGACAGAACGGCGACCCGGCTCCTTAGTGCGCGTTCGTAAACGGAACGGGGGAAAGAAAGACACGCGGCGAGACGTCGTGTTTCGCGCAGCGGAAAGCGGTAAAGCGAGCAACGCGAAGCGACGTACCACTAAACCGTATGGGAGGCGAGGGCAAGAGGAAACCGCCGACTGTGCCAGTGAGGAGGGACGCAGAGGGCGAGAGACGGCGGGAGGGAAGAGGAGGAGAAGGGTCAACCCTTCTCGTACACGCGCTTAAATAATATTCCCATTAGCATAAGCGAGAAATGAGCCAATGAGATGCTAATTGCCAGTCTTGCGTTTGGAGAATAATTATTATTGCGGGGGCATTTTACTCTCTAGCCGGACGTTGGACCTTCGTCTTCGTGATTTACTCGTGGCGCGGCGCGGCGCGGTGCCACACCGGGGCGCGGCAAGAAGCGACATTAGCTCGATTATTAATTTTTCAGATATTAATTGTGTAGCGCGCGTGCGCGCACGCGTGTGCCCCACGATTCGTCATTTCTTGCGCAACCCGGACGTTGGCGTTGTTAGTAAAGATTCCGTTTCGCAATCTCTCGGGAAGTCCGCGGCCAGTGTCGAATCTGCTCCGGGTAATAGATATGATTCCGATATCGAGGCGAAATGTTTTCTTATCGTGAGATTAATTTCAAGCCGCGCTGCGCCAATATATTGCGCTATACAAATGTCAAAATGTTTTTTTCCCCTCTTTTTTATTAAAAATTGCTCGCAATCTAAATCACTCATTGAAGCGCCGTTGTTCGGCGAGCACGATAAATTACACAACGTTTTTACATATTGCGTCAAATTTATTTTACATTTATTTGCATCCAAACTTTTTTTTTTTCATTTTTGATCGTGCAGAATTTTTTTGAACCGTTGCGCGCATGTTACATGAATTGCATCGTATATTTCAAAGTCCAAAATGTTTTCTGATAAAAAATTCACGAGACTCATTAATCAATAAACTTTCTGATCAGATCAGAGAAGTGTATCAATGACATACAAACGATTCTTTATGAAACTCGCGTTCTTGTTTAATATATAGAATTATATGGCTTCACGTAGGATTGCAGTCACGTTGTTTCGTTGCGTGACGGTTGGAGGATTAAATAAAATTACACGGGACGTACCTTGACTTGTGATATAAATCGTAATAACGGAGAGTCAAGAATATCGCGACGCAAATATCACGAAGTGAGAATCGACAAGTGATACCTTCAGCATCCTCCTCGCCGCCGTATGCGTGATGTCGTGCCTTTAGCACGCGATTAGCGCGCGTATTCTCAAGGCCTGGTCGCTGCGGGCAACATTATTCCTGATTATTGCAATTTAGTTGCAATCTCCATCGTCTCGCTACCGCCGCGGCCGTCGATATACCAAAGGATCGTCTGTCCGTAATCAACGCGACTTTCGC